CTCTAGTTCTCTCAGTGTCCACCAGGGAAAAGAGGCCAGCACCACCCTCCTCACTCCCTCCCTTGAGGTACTTATACTGATTAGATCCCCTCTCAGCCTTCTCTTCTCCAGGCTGAACAGGCCCAGCTCCCTCAGCCTCTCCTCATAGGGCAGATGTTCCAGGCCCCTGATCATCCTTGTGGCCCTGCACTGGACTCTCTCCAGCAGCTCCACATCCCTCTTGTACTGTGGGGCCCAGAACTGGACACAATACTCCAGATGTGGCCTCACCAGGGCTGATTTCATTAAGGTTTTGTCATTGAACTGCTTATCCTCATACCAAAACTTCTATTGCATTTTCCTGGAATCCTAATAAATGGCATTTTAAGACCCTTATTCATTTTACTTCTTTTACAAAAAAAAAAATAGTTTATTATTTGCTTTGTGCCTAGAACAATGGGATCTGTTGCTTGATGCTGTAGCTGCTCAATGCACAAAGATACAAACTCTTGAGTGTATGAGTGTGTGTATTTATGTAATTATATTAAAATGTGGTTTATTTGTTTTTTTTTCATCACAGATGATAGCAGCCTCCTAAACCTGACTCCCTACCCATTAGTAAGAAGACGAAAGCGAAGATTCTTTGGACTGTGTTGTCTTGTCTCCAGTTAGATTATGTACAGGAATGACAAGAAAATCATAACTTTGAGTAAAACACTATCATTTGAGCACTGCAAGATGAACATTACTACTATTGGTTATAAAATATATTTTCTACACTAGCCTGTTCCTTTTTCTCTTCTGCTCCATACCCCTTTTCAAAGTAAAGAGTTTTAATAATTTAAAGTTATGGTGTGCAAGAACCAGTCGTGGAACAAATCTAGCGTAAATAAGGATGTTTCTAAAACTTTTAAAGTATGTTTTGCATGTTTAAATGACTCAGAGAAAGATACATGGATTATGGTTAATGGATCATTTTTAAGTTTTTGTTGTTTGAACTACAGCTAAAAGCTTGTGCATAGTACAGTACTCTTACTAGTATCACATTAAAATACTTGATCATATTCTATCAGTCTTTAAGCATAGAAATCTATTTAAGAGCAAAAGTATTGAAGTTCTAAAATATTTAGACAATATTGTAACAGAATTTGAACAAAATCTACCATTGTTTTTTGTAGTCTCATTCATATTTAGTCTTCCACTCTATCTCAATCTAAAAGCTTCATCGAAAAATATCTGAATTTATGATACACAAACCATATATAAAAATATTTAAATCTTGTAAATACAGAGAAGTCAAATATCTACATACTGTAAAATGCATAGAAATAATAAATTTCCTTTTAAGCCAATGGTATCTCTCCAGCCTGTTGGAAGAAGAAGAAATACTTTATTAAAAGCAGGTGTAGTAAGATAAAGTTACCCTACACTCTACAACACACCACTAACCCATTTTGTTTCCAATAGAATTTAAAGCATGGTGTCTGCGTATTACTATTAACTCTTACAGGGCATGCCAGATTTAGCTCGGATTGTAAGATATTAAACATTTTACATTGTTAATAAAGTTTTTTTTATTTAAATTAAGTGTTGCTTTGTTTCTAGTTAGATTGACAGAATATGCCTTTTTTTTTTCTAATCTTACGATCAGAATACTACAAAAAATGCAAAAATGATATGCAGAATACAAAAATCTATTTTTCTCAGTTGGTCCCTGTTGGCTATAGGGAATTGGAACATTTTCCAGGGGCAGAGACCCACAAAATGCCATAAAAAATATTGTGACCTAATCGGCAACAAAATCTATTGATGAAGCTGGCATCGTACCCCATCCAGTATGTAGAACAGGTATTTGATACATGCATCTTTGCCAAGTTAGAGGTGTGCATGTGACCACACATGCCAGACCACACACGCAAATATGTGTATATGTGCATAAGAGAGAGGGGGAGTGTGAGTGTGTGTGTGTGTGTGTGTGTGTGACTTCCAGTGTTCAGCTTGCTGCGGTGAGCAACAGGACCTTTATTGTACAAGCCTGTCAGCATCAGCACTACTTACCCCAGTACATGTCCCTACAGTGGCTGACAATTTCCCTGATTATTATTACAAATATTTTTATTATTGATCAGGCACAAGCCTTTGTGTAAATCCATGCCACACAGTGTTTATATTCACTATTGATACTGGAAGTGCAGTTTTTAAATGATTGAAATACATTCTGAATTCCCTTTTACAAGAATATCTAGGGCAACGACAAACACACTGACTGTGAAACCTACTGTAATGAACTGTATCATAGATGCATAAGTAAAACACCATAGCGAAGTCTTTGTGATCCAGATTTCAGTGTGCATGAATAGCTCCTGTTCAGTGTGTATAGAATTGTATATGTAATTTGCCAATGTACTATTGAGATCTTATTCCCCAAATAATATTTTCCTCTTATCCATTAAAATAATACAGGCATGTAAATAAGAACAGCGCTCAAGTGTGCTTTGCTTGTTTCCAAGAGCTCTGTAACTTGTTTGAACACCAGTGTGAGTTACCACAGCAACCTCTTTGTCCTACACCCATGTACAGCCTACAGACATCATTTACACCCTAAGTGGTGAAAAGAAATTTGGGGGTTCTTACATCACAAGCAAAATGCTACAAAAACAATAATCATCCCTTGTATAGCACATAAAAAATATTTATCCTACAGATTGTGTTTTAGAAAGGACACTAGAAAAGGTGGTACAGCAATTATTTTAGCTTTTGTTTTCTTATAGAATAACAGAAAGGCTGACTTACTTTTATCTCTCAATATCCAAGTTCAGAAAAGACCCAAACAAATACTATCGGACCATATAGGGGCATCCACAAAGACGGAAAGGCAACCATTGTCATCCAGAAAGTCAGGTTAGCTTCGACCAGCACGATACGTGCGTAGGAGAGAACGAGAGCACAGATGCAGTGAGGGACCACAGTGCTGTGTGCTTGTGACAAGTGAAGGAGCCAGCTGAAAGAGACATGTTTTCAGCTGGCCGGACCATAAGAAGGTGCTAGCTCCCAAGAGGGAGGTACATGCGTGCCAAGTAACTACCTAGTGGCAGGAGGGACCTCTGGTCCAACTGTCCAGCCTTGCACCTAGGGACACATGCTCTTTTCCAGTCCCAAGGTAGGCCAGACAGCACCATGCATGCCTTGATATTTCGCGGGACAAACAGCACTAGAAAAGCAGCATCCCTGCCCCTCATCTCTAATCACTGTTTCCTAATAATCAGTGGATTAAAACGCATATGGTTGAGAGAGAATTGCTAAGGAAAATGGGGTGTTGGGAATGACATGAGTAGAGATTGGGATGGGTTGGAATAGATTTCCCTGCCTGCCCAGCTAGAAGTCTGTTGCAGATGTCGTTGGCTAGTAGGGGAGAACAGATAAGGAAAAAAATAAAGCAAGATCTGCCATAAAAATCAATCAATACAGCACATTACCCTAAAATCTATGTATGTACATGCCAGATGAATCATCTACCATAAATTGCAATGTTGTGAATAAAAAACTGATATGGTGATTTATAGCACCCTGCAAAGCAGTCTAGAAGCGCCATGTACACTACTGAAACATTTTACTCCTTTTTAGTTACACTATTTTACAAGATTACAAAATAGCAAACTGAAATTAATTTTAAAAAAGAGATATTTTCATGCCAGATGACATTCAGTGAGTCGCAGACAATCCAAAAGATCCAAGCCATGAGGCATTGACTAGAACAGACTTTGCTCTGTGCAGTGAAACAAGTTGGAGGAATCCCCATGCAATTCACTGTCCCAGAGCCCAGGGAGGTTGAAGCCTAGGTCAGAGCCTCGCCATTTCAGTTTTAGGAAGTTGTGTAACTGAGCATACAGCATTTCGCTGGAAGGATCCTTTTCACTCAGGTCCAGCAGACTAATTTTTTTTTCCAAGTCAAAATGACCTGTTCATCTTTCAGTCTCCCAGAGAGTGAGTATATTTTAAAATAATCTGCTCCCACCTAAATACTTCAAATACTATGAGAACAAATGCATCAAAAATGCCCTCATGGAAATGGTGAGTTTCCTTATGCAAAATGAGTTCCATCAGAGGAATGCATGACTAAATACTAAAAGAGCTTATAGCTGCAAGTACTGTTAATATTCTTTATATAGCACAAAAAAAAAAAAAAACTGCAATGTTTTTTAAGTTTTTAAGGTCACAAGTTGTTTTTCAAAGAACATGCACTGGATCCAGCACATTAGATCTTCTACACTCATGAGTGCTCATGAGCAAAAAGGAATATTTAAGAAGTATGGAATCAAAGACTATAGCAAAATATTTTTCTAAATTAATTCTTTAAGTAATACTTTTTCCTCACATCCCTCATGAACAATGTTCACGTTAAAGTGACTTAACCAGGTCCTAGTTTGTAATTAAACGTTTAAAGAATGTCCAAAAGATGGCAGCACTAGTACGTTTTCATAAAATTGAAATGCAATCTACAAACTGATAGACTTGCTCCATCCCCAGAGATACAAGAGGTTTTGCAACTGTGAGAACTTTAGAAAATGAATACCTGTTATCTGGTAATGGCTAGTAGAAATGCCAGTAGTGTCTAATAATAATATAGTGAATATAATGTGCAATCACAATTAACCAATTATTTTAGTCCACTTTAAGTTAAAAACTCAGACTGTTTTTTTATTATTAATCATGAGGTGTTGATGCTAAAAAACTGCCATTAGTGTACGAACCCAGGCTGTATCTGCAGCAATATGACTAGAAAAAAGAAAAAAGAAAGAAGGAGAGAGTCCTTATACAGTTTGCACAGAGGCATATTACATTAATTAATTAAAATCTTGCTATATTGGTGGAATTGCCATTATCAGGTTAGCCTGAGGTCCGTTTTAACAACTGTTTTCAAAGAAACTTTGGGAGATTAAACAATAACCCTCAGTACAGTACTTGCCCACACACCACCACATGGAAGTTAAATGCAAATTTATGTGACAGATCATATCTCTGTGTTATTGTGTCTACTGCAATGGAGCACACAATCAGAGAAGTGTGCAACATGTTAATTAATTATGCAAAGCTCTAGATCTCAATCATGCCTCACGGCAGGGAGTTCCACAATTTTAGCATATCCTAAGATGGAAGCAGATTTATAAATTGTCTTTAAAGTTAGTAAAACCTTTCTGCCCTTACCATTTTGTTACACAGTAATATGCACATCTTTGTGTCTTTTATTCATTTGCGAACTTTTATTGTGTATTTTCTTCCTGGACTAAACGGTACTAATATTTGAGTCTTTGCTCATTTTGAAGTCTTTTTGTACTAATTAAGTTTTCATCTTCTCTCAAACCCCTTGTATATATAAGATCATCTCCTAATCCTGATGGACATGTGCTTTAACTCTCAAGCTTTATGGCCGCTTAAGGAATGTTGTTGATCAAGAGCTAATGGAATGTCCTCCAGTTATCTTGTAAAAGATAGTGGCCATGAACCACAGCCTGGTACGTATTTGAATGGAAGAGCTGCTAAGGGATAAATTTGCTTAGTTAGGAATGCAGCTTATCATTCATTAAATATCAAGGGAAAACAAAGTTTTTTTGTTGCCTTCTAGATCATGTAGGGTCTAAGAGGGATTAGGTAATGATATTACTACATTTTACTTTAATAGAATAGGGCAATCTTGGATACATTTTCAGGTATTCCACATCAGTGTGACAAATAAATCACTCTGAGATGATTTACAAACCATTTTACTATTTGTTCTCCAAGTGTTAAAAAATACACACTGAGAAATCCTTGAGTGCACAGAAACAAGCAA